TGTTCTCTGTGGCAGCCCCTCAAATAATGGAAGACTGCTATCAGGTGGTTCCCCTCCCCCCAATCCTTTTCTCTAGACTGGGCCATTCCCAATTCTTGCAACTGTTTTTCCTATGTTTTAGTCTCCAGGCCTTTAAACATCTTAGTTGCTCATCTTTGCACTTCTTCCAAAATCTTCCGAAGTGCATGGAACACTGTTACCTTTCCACCAAAGGTGGTCCCTATTTTTCTACTTGAATTGTTTATGTGCTTTCGAGCTGCTAGGTTGGCAGAAGCTGGGACAAGTAACAGGAGCTCACTCCATTACACGGCGCAAGGGATTCAAACCGCTGAACTGCCAAATTTTCGATCGACAAGCTCAGCATCTTGATTTAGTAAATGTTCAAAATTACAACAGCACTGAAAAAAGTGACTTAAGACTGTTTTTCACACTTAAAACTATTGCACCATCCCTGGGGTCACGTGATCAAAATTGGGAAGCTTGTCAACTGGCTCATTTTACAAAGGTTTCGAGGGTCATGTGATCCCCTTTTGTGACTTCTGACAAGCGAAGACAATGGAGAAGTCAGATTCGCTTAACAACCATGTGACTCACTTAACAATTGCAAAGGTAACTGGCACAAAAGGTTGTAAAATTCACTTAACAAATGTTTCACTCAACAACAAAAATTTTGGCCTCAGTTGTGACCGTAAGTGCTGGCTGCCTACCAGTGAGCCTGGGGGAGAGGGGGGGCATCAGATGGGTTTCAGAAATTCATCCCTAGCATTTTTCTCCAGTCCCCGGGGAGTGTGGGGGGAGGCACACCTGCCATTCCTCCAGATGTCCAGAACCAGCTTTTCCCTGTAGAATGCCAGGGAGACACCACCCCAGCAGTGAGTCTCCCCCGGATGCTTGGAGGAGTCACCCATCTAGGTCCCCATTGTCCCTGGGCTAAGTCCAAGCCTGCAGGAAGTAGCAGCGTCTCCCTCGCCTCCCCCCCCCCTTAGATGGGGAAATTTCAGCAGGCGGGATTGGCAGGTAGCGCTCGTCCCCTAGGAGATGGGAGGGCAGGAGGGTTTCACGATCCTCTGCATTGGCCACGTGTTCCGACCGGGGCTCCGTGGAGTGCGGAGAATTCGGGGCCAAGAGACACGTGTCCTAAGTCGGCCTTGGACCACATCCCCCTGCCCTCCCGGTCCGTGCGCCAAGGCTTGTCCGGGTCCCCAAAGAGCATCTGGCGCAGCTGCTGCCTCACCCACCGCTGACCGGGAGAGGTGGCGGGAGGAGACAGAGCCCAGACTGTGCAATCCTCCACTTGTTATGGAGCGAATGGAGACAAAGACAAATCGGGCGACGAAGCAGGAGGCTGACATGGGACAGCATCTGTGGGACAGAACTGCGTGGGGAAGAGCTGCGGCTGGCCGTCCAGCCCAGCACCTGCTGCTGCAGGCGAGCCGTCAGGAAAGGGATGGGGCAGGGCTTTGGGGGCATTGTCCAATTCTTGGGGATAAGAGCCATGGCCACAGGCAGCTGCCCACCTCCTGCCCTAGAAACTCATGACAGACTTGGAGGGGACCTTATAGTTCATCTAGTGATCTAGTCCCTTGCCTCTTAGTGCCCCCCTGCCACCCCCCATGCCTCTTAGCACCCCCCTGCTGCCCTCCTTGCCTCTTAGCGCCCCCCTAAGTCATCCCATCACTCCCCAGGGGGCGGTACCACCCACTTTGGGAACCACTGATCTAAACCATCTAGTGTTCTCTAAGATTATTTATATTTCCTTTCAAAATTGTGAGCTAAGAAACTTTTTTTTCTAGCCATTCAAAGTTATAAACAGACTTATATTAAAGACATGGAGTCAGTCTTCGCTAAAGTTAATTGCAAGAGATTTGAAACAAATAAACCCTACGGTAATCCTCCTTTAGTAATCAGAAGCTACCGCAATCACTTGAAATGGCTTCAGGGGTCATATTCACATTCTACCTGAATCCATATCCCTAGAGATATTCAACCCATGTCACAGGTACATAAAAGTCTTCCAGATGGTGCAATTATTCTTGATGGGTATGTAGCAGAAGACAGGTTCCTCTAGGGGAAATAGCGGCTGGAAGCAGCAGAAGTGGAATTGGGCGCATGCATACACACAACTTAACATCAGAGTCAGATTCCTTCCTAAAACTTTGGGCAAAATATTACCACAAGTGTAAATATAAACTCATAAGATTATGAAGTAGCTTATTTTAGTTTGTCCATCTGATTATTATTAAACATTATGCCTTCAAGCTAAAATTGAATTAGACCTATACAATTCTCCATTGCAAATCCAGGTTTACAGAGCAACTAAACAATAGGAGGGAAACACAATTTTTTCCATGCTATTCTTGTGGCAAAAATAAGTTTTAAAATTAACAAATTTCTACGTAAATGAAGAACTCTTTTAATGTTCTTGACTTGCTATGAAGAGGGAAAGCCTAGCTTAGAAACAAGCATGCTATTGAATGTGCTGATACAAAGACTCGCACCACCCACACAAACAGTAACACTGGATAATAATTTTTATGCTAAAAGAATTACACCTCCTACTACTGTCCATCTGTTTAAGAGAATAAATCAAGCAAACATAAGCATTCTTATAAAAGCTCTGCATACAGTACTCAAATTTCTAATGTTCAGCTAGTTCTCTTCTCAGTAGACATAAGACATAAACCTATAATTCCAGTGGTTTCTATTCATTGAAACGTTTTTGGCAAAAAGAGGGACAAACTTTGGAGGATAATTTACACAAAGGCCATTCAACAATTACATTTTAGCAATCGTATCTATAGATCATCAGACAAATAAGTGTATAGTGCAAAGACTAAACACATACCTTTTAAAATGCTTAGAAGAATTCAAGGAAGAAGTTGAAACATGATTAACAATTCACGTCCACACTTTAAAATACAATGTAACTTTAATGGCAGCATTTACAGAATACATTAAATCTGTGTTGCATGTGACAAGAAAAATAAAGTGAATAATTGCAAATTACCTACAACATATGTCTAAAAATATGTTGGGTATAAATGAATTTCTGTGCCTTAGTGGAATGTTCATTAAATATTAAGAAATTTTAAGGCACACAACTGCTGGTAGAATAATACTCAGTAAGTACATGGTCTCTTATAAATAATGAATATTGAAACCAAGTGAAAATAGCTCTGCATAGATTGTCTTATATCTAACAAGAGGGCAGTACAGAGTCAAGAGTCAGTGGTAACATAAAAAATAAGTTAAACATGGAAACAAAGTACTTAGGTGCATCAAAAAACATGACAAGAAAGGATCAAGAATTAATGGATGCTGAATGACTGTGGACTGAAGACAGTGAGTGAACAGTATGAAAGAAATGCCCTGATATAAATTGATTAGAAAGAATAAACTAGAAGCTGAAAAAAATATGATGGAAGAGCAAGTGGATTAAAGAGAAAGGGCAGACTGAGAAATCATGGTTGGATTGGGATTATTTCTACCAGATATAAATGCACACACAAGAACTGTCAGGAACCCCTTATCCAAAACATAATTTCACAATGACTGTACATTACCTGTGGAGGGAAGCTATATAAGCCTAGTAAACGATGCAGCTACTTGAACATGTTTCCTACAGTTACCTTCTGAACCTAGATTTCTGGACAGCTCTAGTAGGTACCGTGTTTCCCCGAAAATAAGACAGGGTCTTATTTTTTTTGACCCACGAAATATGGCCTTGGGCTTATTATAGGGGAGGGCTTACTATTTTCTGGGGCAGGTGAGAAGCGAGGCGCACCTTTTACCTTTCCAACTCTATCACGTTCCTCGCCATTGCATCCAGAGAAGCCGCTAGTTAAAAAAAAACTTCTC